GGCATACGCAGAAATATCTAGTAATGGTCACAAAATAAGCATAAGCTGCATACTTAGTTAACCTTTGAATACGGCTTAAAGACCTTTAGGAACCAGGCATGTTGATAAATGTAAGCTGCGCTCCAAGCAGCTTGCAAACTTGAAATACCCTGCGTGAAAGTATAGCAATGGTCAGTCCCAGCCATGTAATTACTTCTTTTTTGTATGCAAATGTTAATTGCACTTGCCCCCCAAAAGGAGAGAAGACCGACGAGCAGCGCAAAAATAAAACATTGCTTCCTCTTGGAAGCCGGTGAGTCAGTCCCTCGATGTGGAAGTCGATCTGGAGGCCACTGTAATTTCCACTCGCATTAATTATGTTAAACACAAGTCTCAATATTTAAACAAGCGATTCCCCCCAAAAAAAAGTGCAGTCCAAATGAACCACTGAACCGTTTGTTTGAGCACGGCCAACGCAAAGTCAAAGACAAAGGCGCCGCCACCGCTGATGCCACTTTTTGTTTTTGTTTGCCTGGCCCTCGTGGACCAGCCGGTAGCATCCACTTCGACAGCCTCATCAAAGCCGCCGCAGCTGGGGCAGCGCTGTAATTATCACACGTCGGTCAAAATCAACGCCGGCCACGCGCACTCTCGTCCAAGTCTATTAACTAAATTAAGAGGCCAACGAACAAATATTTGTGCGCGGCATTCAGTCGAAAAAGTATCTAAACAGTGTTCTCTGTTGCATGCAAATACCAGAGCTCCATGGGCCTAGAACTCTAGGGGGTCGGGTATTGACACAGCATAGCTCGATGCGTATACGCCGTGTGGCACGTATCTCAGGTGAGATCCGAAAAGGGAGTGCAGCACGTAAAAAAAAATTTCTTTTGGGAAGCTTAGCCTTTTGCAAAAAAAATATATAAAATATTTTATTTAGATTATTTGATATTATAAAATTGAAAAAATGCACATGTAATAATTAATACTGCTTGTATTTAGGTATAACATATTTGATTGGATTCAACGCTAATAGTAAGAACAAGATTTATCTGTGGCTAGCCACCTATAAGTATTATTACCTTGGAAATATTCGTTGCTGATGGTGCAATGTGCATTTAGATTGTGCATTGGTATGAGCTTCGGTAGCTACAGCATGAAGATTCAGATGATATATAAGAAACATCATAAGATACATTCATTTTAATTTCGAGTATGCTCTTCAGCTCTCGTTCCTTGCAGTGTAGAGCTGCTGGCCCGGATCGAACTGCTCTGCTGCGGATCGCTTGGCCTCTCACACGGACGGGAAAAAGAAGCAACAGATTGAGACGAAAGCACAGGCCCCGAAAATAGAAACCGAGATGAAAAAGTTAAACATTTCAATTTGAGCATCGCTTTAATTAGCATGCGCTTGTTCATTGTTTTCCGTTTTTGTGCTTTCCATCGAGCGCTTGATTTGTGGCTCGCATTTGCTTTCTGGTGTTCGGTATTTGGCTTTTAGCTTTCAGCTTTTAGCCATCCCGTCTTGATTAGCGTGCCCAACGGAGGCTGCCCAACTTGGCCCGAAAGCGAGGTCTTTTCGCCTGGTCTTTGACTTCGAGTCCAAAACTCACTTTGTGGGTGGCCCCTAAACGGCTTACTTCGCTCTGCTACTCTTTCCTCTGGGCCACATTTTGTTCGGCCGGGGCCTTCTTGGCCATGCGATGATTACTGTGAAATTGGCAATGTTTAATGGCCGCTCCAGCTCAAGTGTCTTTTGTGTCTAACTACTTTTCTCTTTGATGAGTTTTCTTTTCAGCCGTTTTTCTTATTTCGGCTTAAAACGCTCGAGCTGGAGGACTTTCTCTTTGATTCTCGACTCAAAGGCGGACGTGTCCCCAAACCAAACAATAAAGTAATGACTTCAACTTGGGTAATCAAGATTTAAGCCAGAAATATGGCCAAATGATTGCTCAATTTGTCGCAAGCGCTTGGCAGTCATGGGAATATTGGAAAAGCTTAGCTTCTTATTTCTTTCCTTAAACTACAGTACAATTTCGATACAATTTAGTTTGAGCTCAAGTAATTGTAAAGCTAACTCCCAAGCTTTCAGAATCATTTTGGGTCAATCGAACACACCCAAGTGGAGCAGACCCAACAAAGGCGGCTTAAATGCATAATTATCGTCTAGCCATCGGTAGTAACACAATGTTCGACATGCTACCAAACCCGATTCCAATCTCTTGGATTTTTATCTGCCGCACAGCCGCAACATCAAGTGGCAGTGACGGGCATGTGTCAATGCTGCGTGGGTCGCTGTGGAGCTGCAAATCGGAACCGAAAGCGACTCCATGGCATATGCAAATCGCTCAGGGCAACTAAAAAACAAAAAAAAAACGAATATAAATTTGTTTATGGAAGCTGTGACTTCAGGCTGTAGCTGCCGTTGAAAGCTTGCTAATTGACAATTACAGACAAGTCGTTGTTTTGGTAGTTGGGGCATTATGACAACGGTAATACACTTGCTGTGACGGAGAAATATAGCCAGCTTGAGCAAAGTGAAGTGAAGGGACTATAATATCTCTTTAAATCGCGGGACGTACCTGAACATACAATTTTTAACTATCCGATTTGCTAGATTGATAGTATTGGCCTTTACATGAAAGAAATTTAAATAACATTAAGTTTCTCTAACAGATCGGGTTCGAGTTAGTTGTTTAGTTGTGGCCATAGAAAGTGTTACGTTAAATATGTAATAGCGTTAAGTTAAAAAATCGGTCATAAATATTTCTTTAGTTAATTAAAGCTTACATTATCTAATGGATGACTTTATTATATTATTATTCATGGCACTATTTTAAGTTGATGGCAATTGGTCATACTGGTCGCTACTTAATACCAAGCTTATGTAGTTGGCCACCTAGTACTTATGAGCCATTTAGATATCTGACGATACGAGCGACGATCTAAATTATAGAAAATCTATCGTTTCCGGCGGAATCGACTGATTCAGCTGCTCCGGCTGCTGCTCCACCATTAAGCGGCAGCTGGAGTTGAGCCGATAAATCAAAGAAATCGTCGCCCTGCTTTTAAATTTGAATATTAATGAACCCTTTCCCCGCACTTTCACTGCAGGAGTTTATCATCGTGTGAATGGAGCCACACACAGTGGGAAATTTAGAGAGGGAGCACAGGTGTAAATTGACCTTCCCCGCGAAGGATTCATCGACTCAAGGACCTGGCATAATTAACACAGCGGCTTTTCCCACGCAGCCCCAATCGTGTGTGTGTGGGTAAGTATCTAATAGATACACTAATAGCCGCCGAGAACAAAGGTGAAATGGGCAACCGAATTTAGAATTATAAAAATACAGAAGCGCTAAACGCGGGAAATCAAAAGCGCCGCTCGCGGCGAGCCTCAATCACAAGCGGAATGCTCAAATATTTGTGTGATTAGTCCTTATCAACAGCCGCTCTCCGGGAGCATCAGGTAGTAAGGTAGTACACCGCGGCCCCGGGAAGGGTCCGGATAAGGTCAGAGCCCAAAGACCCACTGCGGCTAAAGCCGGGCGCTGAGCCTGCGGTGGTCGCCGGCGATTCCTTTCGTTTAGCATCCTGCTGCGGCGGCAATTGGTTTCGATTTTGGATTTTCGACTTTTCGTTAATAGACCTCTGGCCCTTTGTTTTCAGACGCCCTGACGCCTTTGTGCTGCCGCTGCTGCTACTATTTCCTCCTTTGTTCTCCGCTATTTGTTGCTGCAACTCGCATTTGTTTCAATTAAAGGGATTTGGCGTTGTTTGTTGGCCCGAAGGTGTCAGCAATTTCCTTCAAGTTCGCTAAGACGTGTGGACAATTGCAAATTGGCAGGCAAATAAGTGCAGCTCGAAATCGGACGGCAGGGATTACAGACACTTGAAATTGTAATAGCCCTTACTTTTCTAATGCCGACATGTAGTATTTTAGAAATCCTATGTTAAGTAATTTAATTCTACAAGAAACATTTATTTTGACAGATTTATTTCACGTTTAACAGTATTTCGGTTTAAATGGGAACAAATAAAACGTTTAAGTAGGAAAAGAGAATGATGTTATACTTACATCCCATTTTGTATTGCTTAGGATAAGAAATATTTAACTTTTACGTTTACCTGATGAAATAAAATTGTAAAGTTAGTTTAATTGCACCATTTGTATTTTAGTATAATTAACATGTTCATTTTCGACCGCCAGACCACCTAAAAATATGTTACGAGCGCTATATATTATATATTTTCAACCAAAAAAAATATTGCATAATTAATTGAATCGCACTATTTATTAATTCAATAAGAAAAATATTGTTTCTAATATATCAATATAATTCTAAAATCATGACTATAATTTCCGTGAAAAGCCGTCGGCAGTGAAAAATGCCGAAAGTAAGTTCTCAAAACCAAATAAAGAAATAGGAGTAAAATAAGTAGTCATTGCTTAGACTACAATTATTCAATTAAACAAAGTGGCTTCTCACCAAAGTTTGCTGAAAATAAAGAATATTCCTTTTTATTCAGTCGGAACTGGCCTCATTTCCATTCTCAGACTCCAATTAATTTCCAAATGTCTTCAAATTTATGCTCACTTTTATTTCCCCACTGTTTTCTATTTTTTGTTTCCCTCCAAATTAATTGTTCCTTTTTTTTACGGCAAATTAATTGCAAACGCTTGACAATTAAACGCCGGCTGCCTTCGGGGGTCATCGTCATTAATGCTAACTGTGAGGGGGTTACGAGCTGTACATAAAGTGGCGAGGGGGTTCCTAGCCCCCTCTGCCGCTGCCTGCGTCGCAGTCGACGCACTTGGAGTTGTGAAAACTTTGCAGCGACTAAAATACTAAATACAGTCTCGTTACAATCTGAGGAGCGCCCGTCTCGCTCGCACCCGCCGTCTGCCATCCCTCTTGCACACCAGTCTCATGATGAACGCCATAATTACCGTTACGTATACGCCACCATTGCTATTTTTTGTTGCTGTAGCCGATTGGTGCTGAGAGCCGAGCAGAGCGAGATGGCAGTACAATAAGGGTGTCTCGCTCCGCCGCAGAACGGGTTTTTCTCTCCCGCGAGCGAGAAAGAGAGAGAGAGGGAGCGAGAGAGAGAGCGAGAGAGTGAGAGCAGCGGCAGCAAAAGAACTGAAGAAATATCGACGTGTCTAGTTAGCAAACCAATCTTCAATCTAGTTTCGAACAGTTGACTGCGAACCGTCGAGTTGAGAGGTCCTACGCCATTGGATCAGCGTCGTCGTGTCGAAGCATCAGTGTAAACTAATCAAACAAATCAGAGGAAATATAGCAAGATTCGAGTGTGCAAGGCTTGCCAGTATTGTCAGTACCGACTTGCAGTGCAGTGACAAAGCCGTCTTGAAAAAACAGTTAAGTGCTAACCCAAACGAAACGAAACTCTCGGAAAAGAAACCAAGTGCCGAGGCGAACCTAAATGCTCTGCCCTCCAACCATGCGTCCGGCCAGTCCCGCCGAATCCGAAATCTCCGTGGGCGGAGCCCCCAGCCCGCTGCCCACGCAGCACCATGCGCATCCGCACTCGCATCCACATCCGCTGCAGCATCCGCGGGCCAGCACCATTGATCTGCTGCAGCAGCAACAGCTGCTGATGCAGCACCATGCCGCAGCAGCGGCAGCAGCAGCTGCAGCCGCCTCCGGACTCACCCGGAGTGCCGTCGGCAATCTGCCGGAGGACTACTTCCATCCGCTGAAGCGCCTGCGCATGTCCTCGTCCTCCTCGGAGCCACGAGACCACACGCCCAGTCCGCCGTCAGCAGTTCCGGAGCCACAGACCAACCAGACCACCAAGTCGGCCATCGAGGGGGTCAAGAGCTTCTCCATCGCGGATATTCTGGGTCACTCGGAGAAGCAGCGCGAGGAGTCCGTTTCCCCGCCCCCAAATGCGAGCCTCCTGGCTCCACCCGCCGCCCGGCCCATTGCCCCCTCGGGCGGATTACTGCAGCCACGCACGGAACCGCTGGATGTCCACCCGGCTGCCGCTGCTGCCATGCTCCTGCCAAGCGGCCAGATTGTCCGCCCGTGGGATCACCTCCTGGGCCCGACCATGCCCGTCCGCCCCTTCATCCCCTCCGCCCTGCTGCACTACGAGCAGCGCCTGGCCCTGGACTACCATCGCCAGCTGCAGGAGCACTTCAACGCCCAGGCCCAGCTCCTCCGCCACATGGGCATGAATCCCGCGATCATCGCCTCCGAGGACGGAAGTTCGGAGCGCTCCCAGCGATCGAGCAGCAGCAATGGCAGCACCGAATGCTGCAGCCCACGGCAGGCGGAAAAACTTGAAAAACTAACCACCCAAGAGGCCAGTGAGGAAGCTCAGAAGAAGAAGTCGGAGGAGCAACCAACTGGGTCTGCAAAATCTAACGGAGACACTCCTCTGGATGCCCTCTTCCAGATGACCACCAAGGACTTTGACGAGTCACAAGGTAAGCATACCCTTAACAGATTCCTTATACATATACCTCAAAGTGGGCAGAACAGCAGGGTTTGTGCTCAGTAGCTCAGTATTCTTGTTTGCTGTTATTGTCTTAGTTTATAACGCTTTTCGTCTGATTGGGAAATGTCTAATGTCTAAATTAGGGATTTCTAAGTAGCCCAATTGATTTCATCAGTGTCTCGATTGAAAAATGTCTCAATTTCCGCAATAAATTTGCCCGATTTCTTAATTAAAATAAAAGCTTCTAATTTGTTATCGGTCTGAAAATGGGGAATCGCAAACGCAGAAGCTGAATATTTAGCTTATTATGACGTTTTCCATTTATCAATCAGCAAATTCGAAATTTGTTTAATTGAAACAAATGGTACCACTCTCCCGCGACCCTCCGTTTGATATCTTTTGTTATGTAAATTCCTTAACCGATTCGATTTCGGGCTTTTAATTAATTGGCAGCATGCGCCAGCGGCCGACAGAAAAAGGAATATAATTCATTCCGCGGCATTTTTGTTCTTCAACTGGGTATACAGGCATAAACTCATCCGAAGGCATTTAGTGGGCGTTCAAGTACTCCCTGCACTCCCTGCACTCCACCCCCGACCCCAAAGTGATTTCACGGCAATTAATGGTTAATAGTCCGCACTATCCGCATTAGTATATTGGTGTAGTCGTGCCGATTCTGCGGCGATTAGCAACAATTAGCTGGCTGGTGCATTGCCTAATCGAGTTTTGTTGTGGCGAACAATTAACATGCCGTTTTCATTTGTTGCTACTCAAAACTAATGGCTGACAAACTCTAGCCCGACTGTACAGTGAATATAGTGGCTATAGCTCCAGTCGTAAACATGTTTTAAAATACCCCCAACAAGCGATTAGAGACTACACTCTGCGCGCCGCGTTGTATAATGCCATATCTCCGAGTATTAAGTTGACAACATACACATATGAGTATTACTGTTTATCATGGGTTGTATAAGCCGCGCTCGAAATATTTACGACGGATCTCTTTGGTTTTGCGACTTGGATGCGTCGTTTGTCTATCATCAGGTCGGAGGAGGAAGTCTGTGCAGGGCGATAGGCAGATAGGCAGCTGTGGGGCCATGGGAGCTCTTAATTTATGACAAGGGCCTATTAATATCACTCAGACAAGACGAACATATTTTCACAGTGGAAATTGGAAAGCCATGAGTACTCCTTCTTGAGCTCATTTGCGGTGGTATCAACTCTCTTCCCAAGGAATGAATGCCAGACGTGGTGTCGCCTTTGCTGGCCAAATCTTAATTGCGATTCTTGGTACTCGCGCCGAATTAAAACATAAACTCCCTGTGGCCAACTGTTGCTCCGCAGGTTCCTCGAAAATCGATCGGGTTTCCTCCTGGGTTCCCAAACACATTCGACATGAAGCCCTGACAAATGCGACCAAAACAAAACTCCCCCAAGTAAGAGCCATATTTATGGCTGTAAGTGGACACCTGAGTGGGTAAAAGGATACCCAAGTGGCCCGCTCGACTCCCTTTCTCCAGAGATAAGTCATGGAAATTACTTAATGAGGCCCGATAAAAACAAATACAATAGCTGCCGAGGAGAGGGAGAAAGGCTCGGAGAAAGCAAAGGGAGGCGTGCAGTCAAGTGCCTAATGGGTTTTGGGTTACAAAACGTGCTCGAGATAACAAATGACCAAATTATGCATTCCGAATATGTGTATGTAAAACGGGTATACCCACAGACAAGCTCCGGAGTCTTCGTTTGCATTCGGTTGGAGGGCATTTAATTAGTTTTTAATGTCGATCTAGTTTGTTTGACAAGCAATCGAAATGGGTGTGAATCCATCGTGCGGCGAACCGGTTTGCCAATATTCAATGGATAAATATTTATGCTGATGATCGCCGATCTGCGCCGATCGCTTTGACTGGCACCGCGCCTAGGAATTTCGTCAATAATGTGCACCAGGAAACGTTATGCAAGCTCAATCAGCGCTTTAAGTACGGGTCAGTGGCTCATTAATCAAGCCGGGGCTACGTGTACCACTTAAAACTGATTTGTAGGTGTCAATAATTATTATAAATCACACTACAAACGAGACAAATGAGCAGCTGTCTTGCATAAGCCGAGGCTCTGGAAAAGCTGCGATCGTCATTAGACCCACAAAGCCAATGAACGCCCACAACTCGCGCAATCAATCAACTCGAAATTATACTCTTCAAGTGGCGAACTGAGGTCGCGAATCCGAGATCTCAGATTAGAGAACTGCAACTGCAACTGCAATCGCAGTTGCATTCACGAAATGTATCAATCACGGCATTTAAATCAACACGCGCTCTGTTCGGCGAGGCAATTAAAATCAAAACCAAAGTCGCTCGTTAGTAACCGGTTCGCCAAATGCCATGCATCGGGGAATTCACTGGCCACACTTGGAGTGACTGACTCCAATTAATATGAGCTATTTGGGAAAATGATCTTCTTATTATTATAACAACATATATTATGTAGCATGCGATCAAGTACCTGTGAATGCATTAGATTAAAATAATAATATGATTGTTCAATTAGCAATAGATAATCAAATGCGCCAACTAACCCATCATAATTTCCATTCTTATTTTAGATAAATCCCACTTGGACATCTTCTCGAACAGGCCGCAGCCGAAGAAGAAGCGCAAGTCGCGCACCGCCTTCACCAACCACCAGATCTTCGAGCTGGAGAAGCGATTCCTCTACCAAAAGTACCTGTCGCCAGCCGACCGCGACGAGATCGCCGCCTCCCTGGGACTGTCCAACGCCCAGGTGATCACCTGGTTCCAGAACCGCAGGGCCAAGCAGAAGCGGGACATCGAGGAGCTGAAGAAGGACTTCGATAGCGTCAAGGTCTTCTCCGCCCACAAGTCCTTCCTGGAGAACGTGAACGACCTGAGCATCCTGAAGAAGAAGCCCATGCATGAGTCAGACATGGTGGGCCTGGCCGCTGCGGCAGCCGCCGCCGGAATGGTGGTTCCCGTGCCGGGATCCGTGCCTATGGGAGCCGCTCCGCCCAAATGAGGGCGTGGCCAGGTGCGCACCGAACCGCCAAAGCAACCTGATGATTGGTACAGAAAGTGAGCAACGAGGAGTCGAGTATTTTGTTTAATTTTGAGCTGAGTGCCGGGAAAGTTGGGAGGCTTCTTTTCGCCCAACCCATTTCCCCCAGACATTCGCCGGCCAAAGGAAGATGCAGGACATCCTTAACAGCTTCCGAGGCCACAACGCAGAGGGCAAGGGCAACGTTTACTGCCAAGCCCAGATGGAGACTAACCAGCCAGGACCAAGGCCCTTTGTGGGCCGTGTAATCAAGCCAGAACAATCATAGCCGGAAACGGAAGTGGAAATGGAACCAGCCAGAACTTGGATTCGGCTCTACAGCCAGGATCACATCGATTATAATCGGCTCTTTTAAGAGCCACCAAGCAGATGAACAAAGAGGCGATTAAATTTTTCATCAAAAGTTGAAATATGTTTTGGTATATTAAATTCGAACGGCTTACGAACAGTTCAGATGTTTGTATAATAACAATTTTCCAAAACTACAGAACTATAGAAATAGAGCATTTAAAAACGTGAAATATTTGTTTTTTACATTTATCAAGTTGTACTTTAAAGCGACTTCTTTCTTGTTTGATTATTTCTTTTCCCTCATTCATTTAACTATAAATATTTTAACATTTTAAAGACCTATAATTGTGAAGTTCAAATAATTTTTTTTTTATCTTGTACATATTAATATATAATTATTTATTTCAGTTTTTCATAACTTACAAAACTCTGTCTGTATTTCCCCAACCAATTAGCTTTGAAAAAGAGAAATATGTTTCACTCCAATTAATAATTTGATGCGAACAAAGGGAGATATAAAAGACCGCAAATTGTTGTCAATAAATTTAAGCATATTTAAGCAAACAATGCTCAAGTCCCAGCGAGAGCTTCCATTCGGCCAGTTTCGGTGAGTTCAGTTCGAACTCGTGTATCTGCATCTGTATTTGTATCTGTATCTGGCAGCCAGCAGTTCTAATTTGAATATTCTGCTGCTGCTTCTGCGCGATCGATGTTAATGATGTTGCTACGAATTTTGGGGCTGTGCTGAGTGGCGCAGTCTTAAAGTAAAAGAAATCTTTTTTAATTTTTATTAATGATTATTTACAACCGTTATTCATAAATTCAAACTAATTAATTATTAATTTAATCACTTGGCACGATCGAAAACGAGTTAGGCAAAAACTGCGAGCCGAAACACAACACTTTTAAGTGTGCAAAGCCGGGCGATGATGTGACTGGCTTTTTGTGGATTTGTGCACGGCGCCAATTTGCATACGAAATTTACTCGAAATTATTTCGATATTTATTAATTTTCGAAGCGATCATTTTCATAAATTTCCAAGCCAAAGTCGGCTGCTCTCTGGCTACCGTTTGCGGCTAAGTTCAAAGGTGGCCCATCATCGCCAGCGGCGCACACATTTTTCAATACCAGCCTGAGGATCTGAGGAACTGAGGAGCTGGGAAGCCGAAAAGATGACCTGCGATCTCTCCGCGACTGAAGTGCGCCATCAATCTCGGTCTCGATTTGGTCCCACTCAAGCGAACCCAGCGAACTTGGCCAGCAGCCGATCGTTTGTTAATCATTTGAATAATCAAGCTATCAATTCCGCTGCTAATGATGCCCGATACCAATCCGATCCGATCGGATGGCATCCGACCAACTGGTTCATTGGAAGCCCACTCCCAGTGTCTCACAGTTCGTAAACTAGACGGGAAAAGCCCCGTGCATATGGATGAGATGCAGATCGACTATCTCAAAACTCGGTCGAAAGCAATTTATTTTCATTTCCAAATGTGTGACAATGCAACGCATGCGCCGCGATAAAAACTTTTAGTGGGCCCGAAAAGCTTCTGATTACTCGGTCTTTGGCGTTATTAATACGCTTGGCTTGGCCACTGGGGCGGCGAAAGTATCTCCGCAGAGCATTTAATTGAAATTGAGTTGCACTACAAATTACTGCAGCCATTACCGGTGGCATTTGTTTTATTGGCTGAGAAAATTTGCCACGCAAATCGAGGTAAACGCAGCCGGTCTCTAATTATGGGAAAATCTCTCCGACCGACTTCCGTGAAAACAAACAGAAATTCGTAAACGTGGAAACCCATTAATCGAATCAACTAAAAATGCCTAATGAACGCACCGCACAGTAAGTGGAAGTGCCTCATGAGCCTTTCAGCCCGGTTTAATGGGCCCAGATGCGAGAAAATCGCAGTGACCATGATTGAGGTACTGAGTAGGCTAGGAAATCGTTACCATGTTAATAGAATTAATAGATAAACACGGTTCTTTCCATTATATCAAAGGGAAATGGCCCGATTTGCTGGTATAAAACATGCCTCAAACTAAGTTACGTTTTTGATGTCTCCTTTTATAGTTTATGAAAATCATTGTACATCGTGCAATGTAATATATATCCGACCAATTGTTTAATATGTACGGCAGTCCACGTAGTGACGAAGCGCACTGGAAAATCTGCTGTGGTTGTCACATCTAAATGTATTCATATGAATATTCAAGAAATATAGATCCGTAATGTATCTTGGTTTTTTTTCTTTCGCTGTTTTCGCAATATTCTCCTCACAATAACGCTACAATAACGAATCTTCCTTACTCTGCACACTTAAACAAAATCGTTATTTAAAATCTCAGAACGGAACTAATAATAACGTCAAATCAGCTACCCAAACCATTTAAACTGTGGTACTTTTTGGGGATCCCGTCTTAGCTTTGCCTGTCCGATCCCTGACTTATCGCGTTGTCTTCCCTGCTCAGCCATATTGTCAGCAATTACTCAACGTTTCCCCTGTCAGGTGATCAAGTGCCGGCACACAGATACTGACAAACCATGCCGACGAGCGACGTACATCAAGTGCCAGTCTGGGATGCAGATGCATCTGCATCTCGAACTCGGACTTCCAGTTTAACTGGCGCCGCGTTGCCAAAAGATGAAAAAGTACCCTCGCGGCGGTTACAAACGACTCGAGTGCTGATTATGATAAATGTAAACAATTCAGCTTGGCACACAAATGCAATCAAAGGACTGCAATTACAACTAAGTTGTGAGAGAGCGGGCCCAGAACCAGTTTGGAGAAGCCAAACAGCCGAGCGCGCAATGGAACCGAGGAACCCCCAAGAGGCCAAGATTCCAAGACACCAAGTGCAACTTGGTCGTGGCCAACATCCGCATCTCTCTTCCTGCCGAGTGTGCGAGTATCTATGTGCCGCTCGTTGGGCATGTGTGCGTGTGCGATAGAGATATAAAAGCTAAATTGGTAACTCATACTTAATTTGTTGGCGGCACCTTTGAACACGCTTCCAATTAGCTTACAGCCGACACCTCGGGCCGGCGACTTGGCCACGTTTTGGGCCGCAGGATAATGCCGCATGGGGCATGGAAATGATGCAGCACAAAAGGGGAGACTGAGTACCGACTGATGGCAATTTGTTTCTGCTTTCTGCGTTTCTGATTTCTGTTTCAGTTACTGATTCATTCATACGCCGGAATCTTGATCATGATGCGGCATGTTTTGATTCAAGAATCCAAAAAATAGGGGAAAACCAACAATATAACAACAATACTTCCCGATTCATGAATGAAACTTTATGATTCGTTGCGATCTTACTAAGCGCTAATGAAGTTGTAAATTGTGGAAAGCAACATTAACATTTGCCCCAAACAATGTGAAAGATACAATTTGTCTTGGGTTTAAGGGTTTAAGTCAATCTTCCATATCACTATATTGGTGGCACCAGTACAAAATATTCATTAAAAAGCCAGATGCGGAAACATATTCCTAGCAGAATGATATTAATTTGTGGTACCATCTTCCGTTATATGGTTTTATGAACACTTCACTTGATTCAACCTACTATTAATCCCCCGAGCTGAAAATCTTTCAGTTGCATTTAGGCCGCACATGGTGGATCCCCCCGCTGGTAGCGACTAATTTATATCACGATAAGATCAGACGCTCGCAGCCGCCAAATCCAATCACATTCCCATCTTGATCGGACCCCCGAGCCCCCTTCCACCCCAAAAGCCATCAAAATCAGCCACTTAGCCCATCTCGCAGGGAACACACACGTAGGCGCCTCCAGCAGCAGGTTCTTCGGTGTCCGTCACCGGAGCTCGGAATTCGCCGGACCAAGTCGGACGTTCGCGGACAAAGATCGATGCTATGGGGCCCACTTAATACGTTTGATGGCAATGAGTTGACGCCAGCCTCCGCAGTTGTACCGCTACATCGCCGATAAGGCGGCGGACGGCGATTTGGGAAATCAAAAGATTCACAGCTCCTACGAACGGAGCGAAGTGTTAATGGATGTCACTTTAGTTGGAGCCCCCTCCACACTTTCCTGGCCCCTCTTTTTGCCCCGATCCACCTCTGGATGACATTAGGCTTCATCAGACATTCAACCCGATGCTGAATTAGCATACAAATTACACACGAGCACTAGCACTCAAAAATGCTCTTCGATATTCGGGCTTGGAGTTTGGGGTTTTCGGATTTTCGGCTTTCGGCTTTCGGATTTCTGACCACAACAAAAAGCCGACAAATTTCGCCCCAAACGCTTCCAAGTGGCAAACGGCTACCGATTTTATTATTGATAATGTTTTGATTTATCACAAAGATATACAAATTGCCACTGCCCCAATCTTCGGTTGAGGTCCATTCTGTACCGTGCCGCAGGGCGCGGCACTTTTGTGTGTATCTTGTGGATAAACGCTGGGGCATTTCATTCCAGACCGTAATTTTTATGCGGTAGCTCGAAAGTCGCTTGCTGGTGTCACTTCGTGCTAAGTTTCGTCGTATCTGCACAGAGAGAGATTTGTAAGTCCTTTCCGAACTGCGATTTGTAAATCCATTTAAGAGTTTTTAATAGTTGGCGAGGTTCGAAGAGCATTCAGACTCTGACCATTTTAGGCTATATGATTCATTGAAAAATAGGCTTGTGATATTTTCTCGCTGTGTGGTCTTGCGGCTTCGCCGAACTACTTAAGTTGAGCGATCTCCGGTGCTGGTCTTAATAGACGGATCCGATCCGCATTGACAAATGCTGTTCGTCGCGTTCAGTAAATTGTTTTCGACATTTTCGTGTCGCATTTGTGGTCGAAATCTGCATAATGAGTTGGCAAAACGCTGACAGCTGTCCCAAGTGTCGAAGATTACTCGATGATAAGGTGAGGATCGCTTGGCCATAAGCGCATTCGTCACAGATTCTCCTTCTCTTTTGGGGCGCAGCTGAAAGGTTGAGGTTGGGTTGAGCATAGCTGCGAGCTGGCTATAATTGGCATGCAGTTTTGGGAGCGCTGAGCGCAGAGCCCTGATTGTTGACAACTGGCTGGCACAACTTCATCATCGTCAGCCACAGGAAGGGAACTCGATCTCGAGCCCTGGTGAGGATCGGATCGGATCGGATCGGCAAAACAAAGGGCCACATTAAGGCACTGCCAGCAGCACTCTCGAAGTCGCCGAAGGGGCGTGACGAATTTGTCACAACGGCAATGACTTTATTACCAACTGACTCCTGCTCCGACATCCCCGATCACCCCGGCAGAAGCCCCGGCTCAAACCCCGTCCATCCCCGCCCCTGGCAATGTGACAATATGACAATGTACACAAATACGAGGACCCTGGTGCAGAGAGCTCTCCGGGGATTTGGGCTTGCCAGATGCGACAATAAACACTTTGGCTATTTATGAGGTTTAAATGAACACGGGTCCGCCATCTTGGGTCGCCTAATGAAAGGATATAGAGCCAATACATTTGGCTTATGAATTTGCAGAATTAGAGGCGTGTCGGATCGGTTGAGGGGCCATGGATTTGAGTGCCGACTCCAGTGGTTCGCTTCCTAGGGGCGATGGCTAATGGTGATTGACAGGGCGTGTCGCGTCTATTGAGGCATTGAGGCGCCCAATTAAGAGTCGTTTTATAATTGATTTTGAATACGAAGGCGATAGCGATTGCGAATGTTCACAAGCCCCGTCAATTTCCCATTTCCAAGACAAGCGGAAGGAGAGGAAGCCCTGGTTCGTCAACTTCGGTCAGTCAAGTGCAGGCATTAATCAAACACCGCGGCCATCTTGCAACCGAAATAGGGGCAGGCGAAGGGATTGGAGAAGGGCCCTTATGCAAATGCAGCGTCATAAATGAAAATACACCCTTTCAAGGGTCTGAATAAACTGGATTTTATATTAACATACTCTGCTTGTCACTTTTTTCAGCTGGTACCTGGCTGTAATACTTCTGCTGGAACTAATATACTCCATTATGACCACGTTATTATTTTGTAATTTTATACGTAAGACTTTATAAAAACATTAAAAGCTAATTTGTTCATACTATGTAGTGAAAAAGCGTAATTTGCTTTAATCCATATATAAAACCAATAATCATAGGTAATTAATTCGCCGCACTTTGATAAACAGCTACAAGCACAAATTTGTTTAAATTGCCACTTCTCCAGATTTCTTTTCCCATCTCGAAATAATCAATTATACCCCGTTTTCAGAGGGCAGTGTGGGCCGATGTAGAACCCATTATCGATTACGGCTCGCAAGTTACATCATTTCACTTAGCCGGCTCTTCAGTCACATTCCCACCGGCAAAGGGCGCAATGCAGTTAAATAGACATTTGCATGCAAAATGCAAGGAAAAGCGAGAAATAAAAAGAAAACCAGGACAAACAGCGGAGCGAAATTGAATAAAAAACTGACACTGACAAACAAACGACGCGAGGCGCATACAGGGCGCATACGTGATACAACGAGCAGACCAAAGTTGCAATCAATTTAGAAGTGCATTGAGTTGAGCTAGGGTGTGGGAAGCGAGCGAAGTGGCAAGACAACGAATGTGTGCCAGCATAATGCACTTAAACAAACGGAAATATAATTAAATTGGAACATAATCATACATTTTTTGTAGCGAAACTAACTCCAAGATGCAGTAACGACCAGTTTATTTAGTTTCTTTTTACATCTAAAATACATCACTTTAGATTAGGGAGAGTTCGAAAAAATTAGGCAATATTTAAATGTTAATTATCCAGGAAGGGAATAATTTGTTGTGCTTATTAAATAAAAACAAACGTTTTTCAAAGATGTAGCTACATTTGATAAAGAAACCTATGTTGTAAGCACGTGACGGTCAGTTCCGGGAACTATTTTTTCCCAGTGCACCTGAGGTCCCGAAACACGGATTCAAAGAGGCTTGTTTTTTCAGTGGAAAATAGATGAGGAGCCAAAGCCAACGGTACAACGAGACGTCATTATTGATGACAATTGAGTAGGCCAAAAGAGAGCTGCGAAAAAGCGGGTGAGCCAACAATTACGATAATTAACGCAGTCAGCCGCCTGGAAAGCGAAGGGAAAGAGAAGGAAAGAGTGCTGTCAGGGAGGGAAAGAGAGCGCATGTCAAATTGTACAAATTAATGACGTTCGCACGTTGACAGCGACTTTCGGGGGGGTGAGGGGGCTGTAATGCCCTCGCCCAACTGCCATTGGTCCTCTGGTTAGCTCTCCCTCTCTCCGTCTCTCTCTTTTCGGTTGGCACGCCCCTTTGGAGAGAGCGAGGTGGCGTTTTTAATTAGACAAGCTGCGCAGCTGCGCGAGTTCGTGACGTCATGGGTGCCAACCAGTTTGGAGGCCCCAAAAACCAGTTGAGAGAGCTTGGCCAAGAAAGAGAAGCAGAGAGCCGAGTAGCATTAGCATCGCATTCTGGCCACGAGCCATTTTCGTTGTTGGTGTTTGTGTTGCACGTTGTGCCGACGTTTTTCGTGTGACAGCCGCGCGTTTTGCCGACGCGTTTTGAATCGCCCAGTTGAAAAGAGTTTGGAGCTAAGACGCAGGGATACAGCCAGGATGTGCTGAGTGGCCAAAAGAAGAGACACCTAGACATGCCGCAAAGAACTCCCAGTCCCGCTAATTCGGATGTTTCGGTGGGTTCCCCCAGTCCGCCGCCCCTGAGATCGTTGAATATGAAACGATTGCGGCTTTTGAGGAGTCCTGTTAGCCTGCAAAATGACCGTCAAAAGTCATCACCCGTCAAGGTCAAGAGCTTTTCCATAGCCGATATCCTGGGGCGCGGGCATGAAGAGGATCGTGTGGAGAAGAAGCCGGAGAGAAATGCAGTCCCCAATGCTCCACCAGGAGTACCTGCTCCCCTGGTGCTGATCAACGAGAGATTGCAAATGCCCGTGGTGCCGAACTGTCCGCCACCGGCTGCACTACATACATTTTTGTCGCCCGCTCTTCTCCACAGCTACGAGCAGCGACTGGCCTGGGACTACCAGCGCCAGCTGCAGGAGCACTTCCAGGCACAGGCGCAACTCCTCCGCCACATGACCCTGAATCCCGCGATCATCGCCTCCGAGGACGACAGCTCCGAGCGTTCCCAGCGATCGAGCAGCAGCAATGGGAGCACCGAGTGTTGCAGTCCTAGACAGGCGGAAAAACTGGAAAAACGATCCCAAGGGGACAGCAAAGAGGTCCTACAGAAGTCGCCGGAGGAACAGCCAAAGGGAGTGAGCAAATCAAGTGGGGACACTCCCTTGGACGCCCTCTTCCAGCTGTCCACCAAGAACTTTGACGAGGAGCAGGGTGAGTACTTTTCAAATGAGTGTTTGTGGTTCTCAAACAAAACCGAAACTGTTAAACCTTATAAGTACTCCGTGCATCCGATTGCTGTGGAAATCTGTAAATATTCTAACCGAACTTTACAAACCAAATTATAGTGCTGAAATGACTGTAAATTGGTAACTATTAATAGATGACCTTTTTCCTATGTATGACTGGAATGTATTCCAGCTAAAAATATCTATAATCTTTAGAATTACTTACTCCGCGTTCGGCGGCACGAATTATCTCACATTTTGCTCTGTGTGCACAGCCGCAATCAAATTACATTTTAATATAAACTGATTTCCCAACGAGACCCATCATAACCATTAGCCCGGCCAGCGATTGATCAATTGTTGTCATTACGTCTTGATGAGATTCTGCTTAAGGCGTAAAAACAGTAGTGAGGTCAGCCTGATCGGCCGAGGTGGCTAAATCAATTTCAGGCCGGCTGGCAGCTCGCTCGGCATCGCCTTTGATGGCAATTGCCTTTCCCAGACCCAGACCCAGTCCCAGTCCCAGACCCATACCCAGACCCACTCGGAGGCCCCAGCTCGGTGATATGATGCTGCTCCAGCTGCGAAGTGCTGCTCCAACTCCAACTCAGACTCCAGCTGATGGCTGATGTCTGATGGGTCTGGCGCATGCGTATCGTTCGGCATAATTTGCTTAGCGGCGTTGATTTCTCGTTAAGTCGCAGACGCGAACCGATTTATCCCACACTCGGAACAAAAATTGCCGAGAGCCAGTGAGAAAGTAATCTAGAATCGACTTCTACTTCCACTTCTCTAGACAAATACTCGTACATAAAAATAATCACTTCAACTTTGTAGCAATTACAAAGAGACAATTGAACCAAGATTATTTAAAACAGAACTTAAGCATTTGTAGGATGAAAACATTATTAGCCATCAAAAGAGGGGCTACAGTTCCCATATTTTTGGCGAGTGCACTGACCACCAATCCATCAGCGAACCCATGGTCTGCGCTTTTGTTCATCAGCTACTGAAATTGAATTTACGCGGCGCACGTACATCAGCCAATTGGTTCGTGCTCCACTCTGGATTGCCACAGAGCCATCTAATCAGCACCAGCTGATTTCATCGCTTGATCGGTTGATCAACTGCTACTGGCATTGAGTGCCGCCCGGGATGATTATGATTATCGCCGAGCTGCACTTAAGCGCCGCAGTTTGCGAAAATGGTATTGCATTTTCCCAAGACAGCATCCGGTGTGGAAGTGGAAGAGGAGACTAGAGGTTGGCCCTGCACTGAACCCTTCCTTCGGCTGCCTCCTGCAATTTGCCCGGCTGATCAAAAGCCGTAACCGGCCAGTTGGGGGAAAGATCTGAGGCACTTCCGCCTGGTAATTAGGAGCAGCGACAACTCCCATTGCAACACCATCGCAGCCCCACTTTTGCCTGCTCACCGCTCATGACGATTGCCGGCAGATAAGCCATAAAGAGGCCCATACAGCACATACAAAATAATTACAATGAAAATGGCTGAAAAGTTGCAGCTATTTCAACAATGGACCTGTCGTTAGGTCTTGTCAATTACGCGTGCATATGTGGCGCATTTCCTCACCGAAGAATGGGTACCCTTTCACACGTTTAAGCGAAGATGAATAGTGTTCACTTTCTTTTAATTCGTATTTTCATTTTCCTTGTGCATAGTTTTATAGTTTCCTAATAAAGCCCGTTGTAAATAATATTTTTACGGCTTTGTAAACATTCCCCCAATCGAAATGGAAAGTGGATAATTAAAGAGGTCCAAATGGGTGGCGACTTGGGCACCAAGAGAGCCCGGTCTCAGGGCGATCAGCACGGGCTGACGGTGGCTGCCGCTGAAATGTGGGCTTTATGAAACGCCAAGACAATTGGCACAGACAGCCGCGATATTGAACGCACAAACGGCCAGAGCGGCGGATGCATCCCTAATTACAATTTAATTACTAAAACTTTCCCACTTGACAAAAGGCGACGGCCATGTCAGTTGAGGACCAGAACACCAGAAGACCAGAAGACTACGAAGACTGCGACGCAGCCGAGCATGAACCACAAAACGCACCGCAACCAGATACATTGACAGGCCCTAGAGCAGACGCACAGACGCACACAAGCGCACGGGAAGTGAAACAAACTCGCCGAGACTCACACAGATACTCCGGCCACAATGATGATGGCTCTTCGGGTTGACAGTTGATTTGACAGATAGCAGTGTAAACATTTTACAACATGCGGGCTGAGGTCGCGGGGCGGGGCCAAGTAACAATAGTAAAACGTGGCCGGGTGTGAGTTGTGGCGCTGCCCAAAGAGTCGAAGCTAATTAGTTCAACTAGACGTATACTTAATTTCGAATAGGAGCAAAGTCGAAAATGTAAATAAGTGGCGGATTGAGCATAAATTATAGTTATAATTGGAAATCCGCACGGAGAGTGGGCCGCGCTGTGTGCTAACTACCATGCAAATGGATCCCAGTCAGAGCTGTTAGAGGGCAATTTTCAGTCACGTCAAATCAAACGATCCATAACCGGTCCGCATCCAAATAGTACTCCCATGTCCCATATCCCATCGGCGCTAAGGGGTGGGGTAATGGCTTTTCGAGATTCTACTTTCCGAACAACGTGACACTCAAAATGGCATGCCTTGGCTTTAAACGCCCCCTACAATGGTATTACATGTTTATCTGCTGTGCCAGATAGATTTCCATCTTTCGCATTAGTGGCCACTTGCCCCGTAATTGCTGTTCAAATATTTTCCTCCAGATCGACGGGTATTAAAAATCTAGTTTTGATAAAAAGTATTAGTGCTGCGTGCATTGAAAGCCATAAACAATTATGCAAACAGCTATTTGGGGGATAACAAAAACCTGTCTGTTAATTTATTGTGCTAGAGAGCACATATTGTTTAAAATTTCTTGGAAGCTAGGCACAAATCTACTGCACATTCTTCCGATCAATGCGCAAATTGATCAATTGCACATGCAATTTCATTCAATTTAAATGTTTCCCAAGAAACCCATTCAATAGGCGAAAACCTCTGGCAAAAGTCAACAAGCTTCGAGTTCAGACTACACATAAATCAAGCAAACAAAAAGAAATCCCGCAGAAGTGTAAAAATAAAATTCATTTCAAATGATTAATAGCTGCACAGCGTTTCAACAAAATTCGTTAATGACATTAAAACACCGAGCGAATACTATACAAAAATGTGATTCGCATATGTGCTTATTGAATGCTAGAAGGCGAGACTCGTTTGCCTCAATAAAATCGAGAAAAATGACTGCGGGCGCAAACTGTTCTAACGTCGCATAAAATATGCATGAGATATTGCAAAGAGCCTCCGAGCAGCCGAAACAAGTTGACAAGCCGGCGCTCGGCATAAATTCTCTAATTAACGGTTGCGCCTCAAATATTTTATTAAAAATTATAATTCGCCGGTTGTAAAAGTGGCAGAGAAATATGAGTTTGCGTGCCGGCTAACCATAAAGCATTTGCCTTAATTCGAGCCATCGAAACTACAAAAAACTAGCTGGACTTACTGGAAACTGGTGGCCCCTCAAAATTGGTTAACTGCCCGATTTGCTTTCACTAGCCCTCGACCCTCAGGGATAACCACCTCTACCCTTGGTTAGAGGCATTCACGGCATTCCAGGCTATACCATCTCAAGCGGTACCACTCGGGTGGTCCGTCATCATGGGGCACCCCTCAAGCAAATTGCATACCTCGCTCGGTCCGGTTAGAGCCAAAGTCGGAGCAAGTGACGCCTGGCCAGCAGATACTCGCACACCGAGATACTCAGATACTTAGATACTAAGATACCCAGGTACACAGATACTCGACGGCTGAAGAGGTGTGCGAAAGCGACGCACTGAAGGTGTTGCCTGCACGCTTTTGATGAGCACTAATTGAGCTCAAGTTGCATTTTTCTTCTCTGCCCATTACCCGCGATCCGATCGGGCGGAAAGGGGTCCAGTTCAGTTCAGTTCAGTCCCGTCCAGTCCATTTCATCCTCCACTGTCCATCGGCGTCAAGATCAAAGCCGGCAGGCCGATCATAAAGACAAGCGAAAATCAAGCATCGACAGTTGCACAAGAGACAGCAAATGAGAGAATTAGCCTGCCGGGATACCAGTCCTCGAACTCGGACTGAGAATGAAACTGAATTGGAGTGGAAGTGGATGTGGATGTGGAAGTGGAAGTGGCAAAGGCAGTGGCAGTGGCAGCCGAGCGATAGAGGTGCGAACGAGAGTTGGCCAAGGAGCAGTACATTTGGTAATAACTCTATCAGAGCAGGGCCATATGGGAGGCCGAGGCCAACTGTTGCCAAATGCTCAGAGGGTTGGCTACACGAAGAGAAATCAGGGTGCTTCAGATTTATTTTGAAGTAGACGGTTAATTACACTGTATTTATAATATTATATATTACAACATGTGCATGTACCAACTACTAATGCATTTTTGAAACAATTCCCTCCATATAAAGATTGAATCTGAAATGCCTATTGCTTAAAATATGCACACATTACATTAAACTTATAGAGACAAATGTAGAAGCTTTGTTTTGCCGTGTACCAAATGAACCCAGCAAAGGGGCTGGAATGCGGCATTCAAGTCAGGACCTTGTCAAAGTTCTTAAAAACGCATTCGCATTCTCGTTCCCACTGCGATTCGCCTTTCGCATTCGCGTTTTTGCCAAACATTAATCACTGGCCGGAGTGAAGAGCTGGGACCGCCCGAGCTGTGAATTTTCGGCATGTGTCGAACATCAAAAGCCCGCGCCACGCATAAAAACCATTTAAAAACGCATTTTCTGCCTGGCCCATTGCCCCGGAGCAACACTCCTCGCTGACCCCGCGGCCCAAAGCGTATAGCGCACTCTGCATTTGGCCAGCAGTCTTGGCCAACAGGGTCTTGGCCAGGAAACGCAGAGCGCGAGATTGATGCGTTCACGGACAGCCCAGCGAACTACTGCAGCCGGA